AAACGAGGAAATCACAGAACCTTCCGAGGTAGTTCAAATAGAATATACAGTAAGTCACAGATGTTTCTCAGACTTGTGTAACCATGGGTCTCTATATAGCATTCTTGTGAATCATTATTTGTTGAAGGTCGAAGGAAGCTTTCATCATGATCTATCCTGGTTCCCTGCAAAACTCGATGACCGAAACTCGGCCGACACACCATACCAATAACTCTGCAGAACCAATTAATGCCGCAGAGAAGAACCAAACACTAGGCATACATGAGCCACGCCAAGCAACAAACCAAGAAATGCGGCGAAGTTTATATGCAAAGATCATCTAGACATGAAAAAATACGAAACAGAAAGTCGTATCGGGAGAAAGGATCACTATATCCTATGCACACCGAAAGAAATCATGACCACACATCTTCCTGGTAGCTACCGCTGCTGCGCATGTGCTTGACCATCTCTTCGCCCTTTTCGGCAGGAAGACCGCGCTGCTTGGCGATGATTTGACCAAGTACAAGGTTAACCTCACGCGCCATGTTCGCAGCATCACCGCAGACATAGAAGGTTGCCTTCTGCTTGAGAAGGTCGCTGACGAGTTCGGCATGCTCGCTCAAGCGATGCTGAACATACACCTTCTGGGAAGATTCGCGAGAAAATGCAGTGATGATCTTCAGCGAGTCCCCAAGCTGTTCCTGGTAAATCTACAGAAATTATTTGGTGAGTCTCAAGTGCATACTAAAAGGGGGACAGGAGAGCCAGAGCATACCTTCCATTCATCCTGATACATGAAATCCTCGTTGCGGTTGCGGCAGCCAAAGAACAAAACTGTGGGTCCAACCTTTTCGCCCCTGGCAGCCAAAGCAGCTCGTTCCTGAATGAAGGCACGGAAAGGAGCAACACCGGTACCAGGTCCGACCATGATAACAGGCCGAGAAGGATCAGAGGGCAGCTTGAAGTTCGAGTGACGAACATGGACAGGGACGTGGATACCGTCATACTTGTTGCGTGGACCGTTGATCTCGTAGGTCAGTCCGTGAGGGTCGGGAGAAGGATCGCCATTTTGCTTTTGCTTGAGTGCGAGAAGATAATTCGTCGTCACACCCTTGACAATATGAGAGGCACCAGGCAAACGAACCGACTCGACAACCGCAGTGACACTGATCTTATCTTTTTGCGCAAGGGAGGACGAGGAGATGGAGTAGTAGCGAGGCTGCAGCTTGGTGAGGCCCTCGATGAGTAGAGAGAAAGGCACGGCAGAGAACGGTTTGGGGGTGATGCTTTGAAGAGCCTGTGCGATGTTGAAGCACTGGTTCGAAATCTTTTCATGGAAATAATCCTTGTCGCTACCGAGACGAACGATTTCCGCCTTGCTCTCCTCATCGGGAGCAAAGGCGGCGAGAGACGAGACGAATTGACGAGAAACAGGGGCACAGACTTCCAGGTAGTAGCGAACAGCGGCATCGTACGTGGTAGGGGTGGGGATCGGGACTTTGGCAGTCACATCAATGCCCTTGATGTTGATAACCGTGTGTCTCTTTCCTTCGAGACCGAAAACTTGGAGGAACCGATCAACTTCCGCACCGGCATTGGTTGGCCAGATAGCGATGTGATCACCAGTTTGGTACGACAAGTTGCTTCCAGCAATACTGATTTCCATGTGCAGACAGTTGCGATCCTTGACAGTGAACAGTTCACGAGACTCGACGATCGGGGCGATGTAAGGGTTGTGGGCAGAGAATGGGCCTTTCGGGCTGCCTTCGAGGTGGCCTTTGGTGGCCTCACCAAGGTAAACAGAATCGTCCTCAGGGCTCAGAGAATCATCTTCGGCGACGGAGAAGACGGGCTCATACTCCGCCTCTCGCTCCTCCAGACCAATGGCTTCAGACAACGCCGCCCACATGGGCTCCTTCCATGCCAAGAAGTCTTCTTCCATAGTACCAGCGCCGTCATCACCCTCACCGGCAGTGCCAATCCGCTGAGCTCCGAGTTTCTGGAAAGCGGCATCCACGTTGCGGACCATCGAATTATAGTGCTCGTAGGTGTTGTTACCCAGGCCAAATGCGACATACTTGAGGGACGATAACGGCTTGTCATCGGCAGAAGCGCCGCTCTCAAAAGCGATATCCTCGCCGGTGAGGAACTGGTAGAACTCAACAGCGTTGTCGGTGGGTTCACCTTCGCCGTACGTGGCCAAAACGAAAAACGCAACCTTATCTTCGGGGAACTGGTCCAGGTTCTCATAGTCATAATCCTCAAGATCAGCGACCATGGTCTTGAGCCCGAATCGCTGAGATCCTTCCTTTGCCAATCGAGAGGCATAATCCTCTGCGGTTCCAGTCTGCGATCCATAGAAAATCACACAGTTCTTGCCAGTCTCCTCCAACTTTTCGACGATGTTTCTGGATTTGCCGGCCTTGGCGGCACCATTCAAGGCGGGACCTGTAGAGGCATAGGGGTCTTTGGCAACAGCCCAGTAGGTGCCCTTGGTGAAGTAGGCAACGCTACCCACCAAAAGCACCGCCAAGACTACCAAATCGAGGGTGTCGAGTTGCGCCATGATGACGGGGCTCTGTGGGCGATGCGAGAGCAGTAGCCCCGGTGGTTGATGTTGAGACTGGGTAAGCCTGGGCCGGAGGCGCAGACTAACTCGAGCGGAGAGACGGGAGGGCGCAAAGAAGGGAGGGAGCGGGGGGGGAAGTAAACGAGGGAAAACCGAAAGGTCCCTCAGGCTGAATCGAGTTCCCAGCAGCGATCACCAAAGGAATAATTCCAAGCAGGTGGCGTGCTCCAAGGAGGACTCCGGGGAGGGAGAGTACAAAAATGGAATGGAAAGATAGAAGGAAAGAAGGAAGAGGAAGAACGGAAAGGGAGAGAGAGGAGAAGACCAGGGCCAAGACCCGAGGAGGGTAAGATGAGGGAACCGTGGTCTGATCTAGGGAAAGACGAAATGCCGGTTAACTTATCAGTTGGCCTCAGTCACAAGCAGCAAGCATAAACAGACCGCCGGCGCATCCCAGAGCAATGAATGAGACGGAGGGGCGCCGAGAACCGGGCGGGAACTGTTGAGGGACTGATCGATAGGGTAGAAAATGGGTCCAAGACTCCAAAAGTCGACAAATAGTGGAGAGATTTGTCTGTGCCTCAGGCGAAAATGGCTTTTGCAAATTCAGTGCAGTGCAGTGCCAGTTGAGGCGGGCGGCCTTTCTCACTGTCCTATTCGGGGGGTCCGGTGCTTCGGAACTCGGACGGCTGGTGGGTTCAACCGTGCCGCTAATCTATCCTTGGCAATTGTTGCAAATTGCCAGGTGCAGTCATGCACTGGAGGTGCAGTCGTCGGACTCCGGTGATCAGACTGCCTGATACTCAGTACCTTGTTTAGGAGTTCCTCAATTGGACTCGAGTGTCTTTCAGATCCAAGGTGTCTCGCTTTCAAGTTAGGTTTCTCAAATTCTGGAATAGGATAAGATCGATTTGCTGTAAGAGTCCACAGTATGTGGTGATTGTCCTCAAGTTGGAAGGGTTGATCTGGCAAGTCACCTAGAAATCCTAGGGGTGGTCTTGAAAATTGGGCCTGTTCTACGAAATATATACCCTTCCTGATAATGTGAAGGTGTGGAGATATACCCCATGGGCCGACACTTTGACCGACAGACAGTTTGGTTCGGAAGGAGAATTCGGCCCTGGGATGAGCCTATGGCCATCCCAGAGACCCAGGTGGCGGTCGACTCAAGACCAGAAATGAATGTGAAAGGCGCCAAACAATCTGGGGGATCTCCCGAACGATGCTGCCGACCAAGAGGCCAACTAGCCGAGTTCCGCCTTTGTGGCAGTTTCTTTGCGTTGGTAACTTGGTATAGAGCAACACATGCTCACTTTTGTATACATAACTATTAGTTAATTTGTACACATAATTAAGCCAACTGTCCTGGCGCATTTGCGTATTGTACTGTATGTACTGTATGTCCAGTGCACGAGGGATCTGGCTGGTTCTGACTACGGCAGTGTGACTTGGAGCATCCCCGTACAACCACCACCGATGTAACTGTGCTTTAGACTGCTGCTTGTTCCGCGTGCCCCCCAAGGCTTATTGACGTTTCCGCGCCGCGGTAATTCCAGATGCCAGTGCCGTTCCCCGACCAGCCTCATCGCGATGGACGGATTCATTCCGCATATACACTGAACTGCATGCACATCGTGGTCGGGACAACATCTCCATATGGATGTCGCTGTAACAGCGCATCATTCTTCTAGAGGATTCCATCGCAGTATACAAGTTTAAAAGTAATATTTGTCCGCCATCTACCAATTCAGATGGCAGCATTAGTGAACCGCTAGCAAGTCAGTCTCGTGTCAGCAGTCGAAATCTCTCGTAAGACTGCTCGTCGTTGCCGGAGCCGGAGCCATGACAGCGACGGTTGGTAACCTATAGTGTGCACCGCTGAAGGGCTGTCTGGACCATGAAAGGTTTCAAACTGTTGGGTTTCTTCTATCGTCCATGTCCAGCCGATTCTCACTTGCGGTAATGCTATCATTCTCACGACCCTGGTCTGGTCCAGTGAAGATGATTCCAAGCTCGGTAGAGTCGCCACAAACATCATCTGAAGTTTGAGGCGATCACCTTTATCGGTGAGACTATGCATCCAGGTCCAGGCGGTCGCATTCGCCGCCCCCTTGATGTCCTCAACGTAGGTCGCCTTGCATTCGTGCGTGTTGTGTTTCACTTTCTCAGGTTGATCGCTTGGACGAGACCGGGATCTCCGGAAACTCAATAGCAGAGCAATTAATGTTTGTATGCACAGTTTTCAATTCGGATAATCAAGCTTATTTGACCATGATCCTCAATACCCGGTAACTACGTACCTCTTGCTTATTGTCCAGACGCTTGAGGCTCCCGTGAAGAACAGAGAACATACGAGGAAATTGGAACATGACAGGAAATTTAAACTCTCTCGGATGAGATACCTTATTTTAATCCTGTGATTTGATAGCTTGTATGGAGTAAGAGTAACTGAAAAGGTGGGCAAAGTATTGGCGACTCTTTGTTGGGAGAATAGAGAGAGAGAGATAGACAGAGATGATAGCAGTGACGTTCTCTCTCCTAAAGGTCCTCCGCACTGTTACCCATCTTCCCCGTGCTCCGAGCCTCTTTCGGTCGCGAACGAACCGGTCTTTCCAGCGACAAAGCTTCGGTGATTTCAAAACCTATGCATCAACAGTCGTTATCTCTTGTTCCAGCCGACAATCTCTGAGCAGCAGAGTAACAATGCACTGCTTGCTCAATCTTATGGGTTGTTCCGCTCTGACAAAGAAGAGCATTACTCAGAAATGAATTCAGCCTGACTTCAAACTACAACCACCAGTACAACAGTACGTGATCCTGCCTGATCAAAATGCTTTCTTGTGTCTGACAGCACTACCGCTCTGCATGCCAAATCTCATTCTATCGCTCCCTCCTATCCTATCACAGGCTCGAGATGATAGCTTGGTGCTAATCTGCTTCTTTCGCTAGTGGCCTCACATCCGTCGATTAAGGCTGGTCCGTTACAGTCAACGCCAATGCCCCTCATCCCTGACGATTCGAACCCTGTGTCGCACCATATCTTTTCAGCTCCACCAGAACGTCTCGTCACGAGAAGCACCCCAACTTCCACTGTTCACAGCCGCGAAACGTCTACGGTGAGGGGCCTTGATTCTGCTTCCTTGTCCTCTTCGAGTCTACAGCCTCAGAACAACCGCCGCGGTGCCTCCCATTCGAAAAGTCCCGAGCCAATCGCTGGACGACCTGGTTTCGGATATGATGGTGGTCTCGAGAGGAGGCCGTCAAACTCCTATGGTCACCATCGTCAAACCTCCATTGTACACGGGATCCAGCACTCCCGCAACCCAAGTTTTGCTGCCTCAACAGCGTCCAGCAGTCCGCTGAGTTCCGAACTGATCGCATCCCTGGGTCGAAGTGGCGCGGTCGAGCCGGAAGGTACCGGGTCAAGCCGATCAGAACAGCCCAGTATGCATTCAACCTTCCAGTACCAGGGCAGCAACGGGGCAAGCATTCATACACAGGGAATACTGAGTACAATAGACGATCGAGATGGGGACGACGTCGCTAACGGCAGTCTGGCCATTGCGACTCATAAACGCATGAATTCCAATGGAAAGCCCAAACAGGAACGATCCCATAGCCGTTCACACTCAAGACCTCACCCTGATATAAAATCTACAGAGGAATATGCACTTCATCACCTTTTCAATGCTGTAAGTCAATCCACCTTCTCGTGAGTAAGACGGGCGTTAACCCGTGTTGAAGTTTATCGGACAAGCCGAACACAAGATCAACCAAGCTATCATGAAACTCGGTGAATCTGACGCGCCAGTCGAAGAGGTATGCGGGCCGGGTGCAGACGCAAGCTTCGACCAATTGATATCAGCTCTGGGTTACATTGCACGGCGAAATCCGAAGCCCCTGATTGACACCATCATGTACTGGAGGAAGGCGATAGGTGATGCGGCTATCGTGGCGAAACAGGTTGCTGGTCAGGTAAGTTTTAGGTATTTTACGACCCCCCTAGATCACCTCTTGCTAATTCCCGAACTATCTTAGCCCAAGCCATCTGCTGCTGATAATGGGATTCTCATCCGGCGCAACACTGAGCCACCTCAGATCATTACTGAGTCAGCTACCCCGTCCGACTCAAATTCCCCTCCCCGGACGCTGCTGTCTAGGCACGATGAAGTCATCATGGCAGAGAGGCGAGCGACAGTGTCGGTCTACCTGGTTTGCAGAATCCTGATTGAGATCTTCAATCAAAGTAGCCTTGCTTCAATTACTTTGGACATGGTGGATCGCCTGGAGGACATTGTCTTCGGTCAGTTGAAGGCCGTTGATCCTGATCAGATATCGGCATCATCCCTTCGCATGGCCAATTGGAGGATTTACTCACAACTTCTCGGTATCATGAGCGAGACCAGCTTTGCGGGCGTTGCAAACAGATTTCTGCAAGAGCTGGATAAATATCAAAAGGACGAAACGCTACGCGGGCCTTCGAAAGAGGGCGATGCCAAGGCCGAGCTTCTGATCTTGGGAATGAGGCACGTTCGTATCAGAACACATCCTGAGATCTGGGGTAAATGCTGTGAATTCATGCTGTCCCTTGCGCGCTTATTTGCGAACGCTCACGGGCCGCGCGTCAAGCAGGCATACTGCTACATACTCGAAAAGCTACTACTTCCAGTAGCAGCAAGCACTACCTGCGACCTTACTCTCCCTAAATGGAAGGAATTCGTTGACTTGGTTCAGTCTCGTCTATCGCAGATGCTGACCAAGCCACGTCATTGGGCTGCAGCATTCCCCCTCCACGTGCTCTTACTATGTGTTTCAACTAAAGAGAATTTTTCTTCGCAATGGCTTTCGGTGATACAGAGCCTCCCATCGAGGCTGAAAGATCGTCCTACCCGGGGAACAGCTCTTCAGGCAATGTGCCGCCTGCTTTGGACGTTCTTCTTCCGTTACTCGGAGTCACCAACGGCCACTCTGCGTAAAGTCGAAGAAGTGGCCAGAATAGCCTTACCTCCAGGGAAAAGGACGTATCTGAGTACGGAGCCAGCAGTCTCGGATCCTCTGGTTCAGTTGGTACGGATGATTGGGTTCAAGCACCCTGATGTGTGCTTCCGTAGCATAATCTTCCCTATGATCAACTCGGACCTCTTCCTTTCAGGTAAAGAGCTCAAAATTGAGCAGATGGAGCCTGAGAAAATGGTCATTGGCATCAGGACATTCCTTGCCATCATGACAGACCTAGAGAATCGCGATCAACTATGCCCCCCATTTCCCACGGGATCGATTCCCAATCCCTTCACCGACATCTCTGCTCCAACTCATTTCCATCGTCCACATTTGCTTGCTGATCCTCGACCGCCCAATGCATCGGAGAATCGTGATAGCGCCTTGTCGCGACCTGTCAGCACGGCAAGACTTAGCGACAATGTCAGGGAATACTACCTTCGATTCTGTGATATTCTTGGCAAGATTACCATTCTATGTGACAACACATTTGGTGGCCAGGCGGCTCTGGATGAAAAGTTCGGAGGCACGACACCGAAGACTCCGATCTCGGAAGCTTTCAGCTTTGGTCGACGAGACGATCACCTTACCACCCTAGATCAAAAACAGGGTTTCTATGACCTACTTCATGTTGCTGTGCAGGCGCTACCTCGGTGCCTATCTGACCGCATTCCCTTCAATTCCTTGATCAATTTGCTCTGCACCGGAACAGCACACGTTCAGTCGAACATAGCCGTCTCGTCTGCTGAATCGCTGAAAGCCATCGCGCGTCAGTCCCACGCCCAGCAGGTCACGATCGGCTTTGCTAGGTTCATCTTCAACTTCGATGCGAGATACTCGACCATGTCCGATGAAGGCATGCTAGGGCCAGGTCATATCGAATCTACACTGAGGCTCTATGTCGAACTGCTGAGAATTTGGATCGAGGAGATAAAGCAGAAGTCAAAGGGTGCCGCTGCAGAATCAAACGACAAGACCGGGTCAGGAAGCCGAGCTCTACAGTTGGATCTCTCCAGCGTTCTGGCTCATGTTGAGGAGATTGAGTCCCATGGGCTATTTTTCCTTTGTTCTCAATCTCGGCGAGTTCGTGCCTTTGCCATTACAGTTCTTCGTCTCATCACGGAATTTGATAGCGCCCTTGGCAAAGAGAATACTCGAATCATACGGATCCTAGAAGCTGACTCACACCGAATCCTGGATGTCAATAGTGAATCACTGACTGTGGCTGAGCTGAGCAGGATCCAGAAAAGCAAGCGGAGAAGTGCTGCTCAACAAGTCGTGATAGATATGTGTAGCAGCGAGGTTTCTTATGACTCGACACTATGGTCAAAAGTGTTCCCAAACATCATCCGAATTAGCTTCGAGACCTGTCCTTTCGCAGTGACATTGGGACGTGAGATCGTGTGTGCCAGACTTGTCCTTATGCACAAAGCAATCACATACTATGCCGAAGGACCATCACATCAATACGGCCCGATGGAAGCTGCTCAAGCTCGTATACTGGGGCGGGGCAACCTGTCTGCCGAAATTGTGATTGAGCAATGGAAACTGTACTTGGTCATGGCATGCACCACACTAAACAGTGTTGGTGCGCAGTCACAAAGCCAGTTGGCAAACGCTCAACATGCACGCAAAGGATCAAAGGGGTCACAGCAGTCTCAAGATAAGATCAGCTCGGCTCGGAGTCTTTTTGCGTTTGTAATCCCGTTGTTGTCGGCCGAGCGCCCTACCATACGAAATGCTATAGTGGTCGCCCTTGGATCTATCAACAAGAATCTTTACCGCACCCTTCTCGAATCGCTGCAGTACGCAGTCACAACTTGCAATGAAGAAGCCAAGATTCGAATCGGCACACATTATCGCTCCCCGAGCAGCCCGCGAAGAAATCGCAAGACGGATCGACTGCGGACGGAAGTCACATATGTGTACAAGCTAACGTCGCATTTTCTACAAGAATCGGATATTTACAGTGACGACTGGATCGTCAACAACCTTGTCACCTATGCGAAAGATCTTCGGATATTCTTGAGTGATGCCGAAGTCCAGAATGACTGGGAATTCCAGCGCCTCAGGTTTCACTATTGTGGTCTCATGGAGCAACTCTTCGAAGGTATCAATCGAACCAGCGATCCCTCTCGGTGGATACCGTTTGAATCCAGAAAGTCCGCATTCTCTCTCATGGAAGATTGGTGCGGGTATTCGCCCAATCAGTCCCAGATTTCGCAGAGAGAGGAGAACATGCGGAAATATGCTCCTTCGCAGAACAATGAATCTGGGGCTGCCATGGAAATTGAAAAGAGGAACCTGCGCGCAGCAGCTTTGAGTGCCATGGCATCCTTGTGTGTAAGTAACTCCTAGTTTCCTCTCTTGAGACGGCTGACTGACTTCTGCAGGCTGGGCCAATTAGCATCACAACGGAGAGTGGTTCGGTGCTGCAGTTCGATGTAGGCCGCATGCTATCTTGGATTGATATAATTTTCACGACTTCAATCAGCGACAAATGGCATGCCATCGGTAGACGTGCTCTCAAAAATCTGATTGTCCACAACAAGGAGCATAATTACTTGTTAGAGCGCTCCATCGAGATGTGCTATGTTGCGGAGAGACCCAAAGCGCTAGAAAGCTACTTTGAAGTCGTCACACAAGTACTTATTGAGCACACAGACTTCCCCCTCAATTTCTGGCGGATTCTAGGTGCTGTCCTTGTCACACTTGGAAATCAAAAGAGAGAGATCAGAATGAAGTCCGCCAAACTTCTTCGCATTTTGGAGGAACGGCAGCAGAAAAGCTCCAGACTGCAGGATTTCTACATCAGCATCTCTGACAAGACGACCGCCGTGTACAAACTCGCCCAATTTGAAACGTCCAAGCGACTTGCGATGCAACACTCTGACCTAGCTTTTCCCCTGTTCTCCGAGCTATCATTGCATTTCAAGAATCTGAGGCCAGACAGCCAACGGAACATGGTGGCTGCCATCCTTCCATGGGTCCAGACAATGGAACTCCAAGTTGATCCAAATGGCGGGCCGACAGCCAAGTCCTACATGCTTCTGGCCAACCTTTTTGAGATCACGATTCGTTGCAGTACCACACTTCCAAATGAAGTGCAAGCCCTCTGGCAAGCTTTGGCTACGGGACCGCATGGAGGAAACGTGCAACTGGTCCTGGACTTTATTATCAACCTCTGCTTGGAACGCAAAGAACAGAACTTTGTTGAGTACGCAAAACAAGTGGTTGTGTTCTTGTCAGGAACCCCTGCCGGCTCGAAGGTGATCGAGTTCTTCTTGATGCAGGTTGTTCCCAAGCATATGGTGCAAGAGAGGAAGGAGATTACACCAGCTCCGGCCGACATCAAGAGCCTGCCGTATGTTGCTGATCTCAATACGGTACTTCCACTAGGAAACAAACAGGCCGGGCTTTCTTTGGGTCAAGTATCCTTGGTATTGCTTGTTGATCTCATGGTTGCTGCTATCACTCCGGCACTGGAAGATGTAGTCAAGTTGCTCCACGTTGCTCTCATTCTATGGGATCATTACATTGTTACTGTCCAAGAAGAGGCTAGAGAAATGTTGGTTCACTTGATCCATGAGCTGGTCGCTGCCAAGACAGAAGACGATGCCCCTGCTGGCACTAGGGAGTCTATCGAGGACTTTGTGGAGATGATCCGCAAGAGTGACCCCAAGGTTGTCTGGGAATATGAGGACAACAGTGACAAAGACGATGCTGATGACGGCCGCCGTGTTCCCACGTCAATGTCTGATGTTACCCATAAAGTCGTCGGCTTTTTCAACCTTGCATATGAGGGCATCAATGATCTTTGGGCCAAAGAAGCTCTGAATTGGGCGACATCGTGCCCTGTCCGACATCTAGCCTGTCGATCTTTCCAGGTATTCCGTTGCATATCCATGTCACTCGACTCCAGGATGCTAGCCGACATGCTCGCTCGCCTGTCTAATACAATTGCAGATGAGGAGTCGGATTATCGGACATTCTCAATGGAAATTCTGACAACACTGAAGATCATTATCGGGTCCTTGGCTCCTGCGGATCTTTTGCGCTATCCACAGCTGTTCTGGACGACGTGTGCTTGTTTGAACACGATCCACGAAACAGAATTCGTTGAAAGCATCGGTATGCTAGAGAAGTTCTTGGATCGTCTGAATATGGGCGATCCCATCGTAGTTGCAGAGCTCATCAAAGGCCAGCCCCCCAAGTGGGAGGGCGGTTTCGGTGGTCTCCAGGATCTGGTTTATAAAGGATTGAAGTCAAGCGAGTCTCTGAACCTCACGTTAGACGTTCTACATCGTCTGAGCGGCCTTCCAAACAACGATCTCATCGGAGATAGCGACAGGCTCCTTCTCACAGTACTGGCGAATCTGCCCCACTTTCTCCATCAGTTCGACTCGAATATTGACAACCCCAAGACGTTGGCACGGGCTACTTTGCTTGCGCGCGTTGCTGAGAGCGAAGGTTGTCCACGTATTGCAGCCTCTCTGCTTGGGTTTGCGAACGGACAGTATAAGGCGGAGAACGATTTCTTGAGCCACATCATCACCGAGCTGCGCTCCTACTATTTCCCTCGACTGGATGTTCCGAGCTTAATCTTCCTCATGGGACTACTGACAAATACCACTAAATGGTTCCGCGTCAAGGTCATGAAGATACTCTGTGTCCTGATACCGGAGATTGATATGCGACGAGAGGAAGTGACGAGCCATGGCCCTGACCTTATCTCACCATTACTGCGGCTGCTGCAGACTGACCTGTGTCCTCAGGCTCTGCAAGTCATGGACCACATTATGACAGTATCGGCCAACCCAATGGAACGCCATCACCTTCGAATGAGCATGGCCTCGGCTTCATCGTCACGGGCCGTTCGAAAAGAATACGAACGTATTCAAAGTCTTTATGGAATACCCGAACCGACCGGATGGTCAATTCCGATGCCTGCCTCTCAGTCCAATATCACTCGTCAGAATGTTCATGCGGTGTTCTACACTTGTGCAGAAGTGGACCGCATGGAGGTGCAAGAAACCGTCAAGCCTGAAGTCGAATTTCATGCAGACGAATACAGTGACTCGTTCTTCCCTATGCGAGCAGATACTATGAAATCAATTGACACGCAGACGGACGGCAACATGGGAGATATCGTGCAGAAATTAGACAGCCTGGACGACTTTTTCGAAGAGGCGGACCCACTTCACCCGGTCTTAGACACCATCTCAGACCCCGCACTACGTAGCTTTGCTGGTGCATATGCTGATACGAGTGCCAGTCTCTACGATCAGCAAACGGCGCCGATTCTGCGCAAATCTCTTGCCCGGACTGCCTCGGTATCCTCTTTTCACAATGGACTTGCGGAGTCCCGGCCGCCAAATTCACGGTTCGATAGCGCTGGGGTACATCCTTCTGGTACATTCACACCCCCTGCGCCTAGCCAACTTGCACGTCCAGTGTCTCACACTCGGTCCGTGACGTCTCCGGCCAATCATTTGCCCTCGCCATCCTCGTCCAGTGTACAGCAAGCCACGCCTGTCATTGGCTTTGGCGAGTCTGCGTTTCTTTCGGACGATGAGATGGAAGACACGTTCGCTGATAGCAAGCCATCTATACCACATCCCATCAACCAGGTGCGAAGCGCTACTGAAGGGTCATCGTCGCTTGAGTCGATGATTCGCAGCGGCATGAGACGGCTCACTGGTGGCACGGCCCCGAGTCGAGACAAAGAGCGCCAGCGGGATATAATCCGCGCACAACAACGGACACAGGCAATTAGCTCACCACGCGTGCCTAAAGTCCCCTCTGAATATCTGAATGGCCCAACTAGCAATCCAGCATCACCGGGACAGCAATGAGATGGCCCCTGCACCTCAGAGTTCTTTGGTGGACGCTCTATCCTGCGCAGCTTGGCACCCAATTGAACGGTCATTGGCATCATTTAACGGCGTCTCAACACATTTTTTTTCAATTCTCTTCTGGCGTTCAACATACCCATTGTCAATTGCCGTGGTGTCGTACGAGCGGTTTACATTTTAACCTCCGATGCACTGCATCCTCGTTCAGCCTCTGTACAATATTTAATTTAGACATGAAACATAACGAGCATCGGGTTCACCCTAGTGCGTAGTTGTATTAGCTGTTTTATATTCTGTATACTGTGACACGTGAGTTGTAATGACGCTCCGCAGCCTTACCGAATTGGGCTTTCCCCGCACGGGATCGGGGTAAAGATCGACATCCCCATATTCCATCAGTTCGCCAACACCTTAATCAGTCGATGTGTCTACCACTTTGTTGGCTGAATGGCAAGAATCGGTTATCTACGGGATAACTACCAGACTGCAACTCGCTGCTCTACGTGGTCCTCGGGCCCAGGAGCGCTGACCCAACACATTGATGAACTACAACTTGCTACTTTTACAACTCCAACTTACGATAGCTACCACTTTTGCAGAGCGCCGGATCAAACTGCTTGACTCTGAAGCAAGGAGCCATTGGCATCAGCGCATGAATCGCACCTCGTTCGATAGGCTGTTTCTTCCCAGGTTCTAGCACTGATTCACACTCAACAATGGCTCGTCCCGGTGCTCTATCCCCGCTCCTGCGGGGGACCCGCATGTCAAGAGTAGCCCCTTCAGCGAGCCATCCTCTTCGAAAGCCCCCCACCAGATCGAGAAGGCTGTTCTCATCCTCTACACAGAAATATGCCACGTGGGGATTCATAGGACTCGGACAAATGGGTACGTACGGCGCCAACCCTCTCGAGCATGCGTGTTGCAGGTGGCTGACAGTGCGATTCTTTGTCTAGGATATAACATGGCTAAGAACATACAGTCTAAGATCCCCGCCACCGACACGCTGATGATTCGCGATGTCAATCAAGATACCACCGTGCGGTTTGTGGAGGAAGCTCGTCAGGCAGCCAAGCGAGCTGCCGCTGCGGGCACTGGCACTGGCATGGCCAATGTTGTCGTGGCGGAGAGCGCGAGAGATATGGCAGAACAAGCTGTAAGTAGGTCGAGCTCTATCTAGCGTTCGGAACAGGGGTCTATGTGAAATCTGGGTCTGGAAAGATTTCATCGCGGTGTATTGTCTGCAGTCTTTGTATTCATCAATACTTGACAAGCCCAATGTGGGGCCCCTGGCATCATCTTCTAACAACGCACCCGTTCTAGACGGTCGTTATTACCAGCCTTCCAGAGCCACAGCATGTCAAAGACGTCTTTTATTCTATTCTCCGGCACGGTGAACTCCCACCCCTGGAGCAGGAGCGTCTATTCATCGACACGTCAACCATCGATCCTAGCTCATCCAAAGAGATTGCCAACGCGATCCACACCACCGGGCAGGGTCGTTTTGTGGACGCACCTGTGTCGGGGGGTGTCGTCGGGGCCCGCAACGGTACGCTCAGCTTCATGTTCGGTGCCACGTCCCAGACCGGTCAACTCATCGACCGAGTGAGGTCGGTTCTGTCCCTTATGGGTAAGAATGCGTGGCACATGGGCGCCCCCGGTGCCGGGGTCTCGGGGAAACTCGTCAACAACTACATCCTGGCGATCAACAACATCGCCACCGCCGAAGCGATGAATCTGGGCCTGCGCTGGGGCCTGGATCCCAAGACTCTTGCTGATATGGTCAGTACGTCCACCGGTCGGTGCTGGCCGATGGAGGTCAACAACCCTGTGCCTGGCGTTGTGGAGACGGCGCCAGCCTCCCGTGACTATGCCGGTGGCTTTGGCGTCAGCTTGATGAAGAAAGACTTACGGTTGGCGATCACGGCTGCAGAGGAGTCGGGCTCGCCTCTCCCCCTGGCTGATGTGGCTCGCACTGTGTACAATGCTGTGGAGGAAGAGCACCGCGGTAAGGATTTCTCGGTGGTGTACAAGTGGCTTCAGGATAAGTCGCAGTAACAGGGGGGGTTAGATTCTGAGTGGACGTTCGCTCTTAGGGAATCGAATGTCGCAGAGCTCGTGAGGAAGACAAGGCTTCTGTTACGTTCTGAAGTTGCCCTTTCAATACTTGTTATTGCCATCTATGCACTGAAGAAGAGCCCAGGACTATAGATCTCCAATTCCAGACAGGGAAGACCTAGGAGCACTTTGGATTGAAGACGTACTAGGCATCCCAAGCAAGAGATGAGTTCTGTTCGGATTCCGTATTCAAATCCACAAACCAGTGGACATGTGCGGCGAACTCATGTAGGACTTAGTAGACACGAAAAACGGCACAGCTGCAGCGCCATATTCAGCACGCTTTCCAAAAGAGCAACATGAATCATCATTTTGTCTATACCAATTATGTAGAGATATTAAGAGTAATAGTCGTCCCGACCAACGAGACACAGACAGACACACACACACACACACACACACACACAGACATATATATACCTACTCCGCTCACAGAAAGGAGAGCTTCACAACACCATCTTGCACCAATGCATCCATCCAACCTCACAGAGCCCGTCCTACAACCAAATTTGTGATCACCTCCCCTCCACTTACTCCTCCTTCTTGACCCCCTCAACCTCATCCTCACTCCAATCCAACAACTCCATAATCTCCTCCTCCGACAACTTCTGCGTCTGCTTCTCCGCCTCCTTCTCCAAGCTCTTCTGATACTTCTTCTGCCTCTTGCGAGCATTCTTCCCCCACTCGGGCACCCCACTCGCCGTCGCGAAATCCTCCTGCGTGACGGTGAAAGTCGCCGCAGTGGTGGTGCCGGTAGCGGTAGCAGCGCCGGTGGTAGTGGCGGCGGTATCCTCCTCGTCCTCAATCTCATCGTCCGTGTTCTCCACCTCCCCGAGCACTCTTCCCCCGCCACTACCGCCACGGAGCGCATTGGCCGACATGCGCGCCTTCTTCTTCTCGGCCTTCCCGCCGCCGGCGGCCGCTTCCTGGGCGCGCTTCTTCTCCATGTGCTTCTTGCGGTCCTTCTCGTGCATCTTCTTGAACCAGGCTTCGATGTAGGGCCGGATGATCAGGTAGCCGACCACGGAGAGGATGACCTTGGTCCAGCGGCCCGTGGAGACGTTGGCGAAGGAGCCGTGCAGGTTCGTGATGAAGCGGGTCACGACCGTCTCGGCGACGGAGTAGAGCTGCGTGAAGAAGTCGGTGAGGGCGTCGAGCGCGACGGCGCCCGGGTTGGGGGGTGGGGTGGACATGCTGTTTTGGTGGATTGAGGACTGCTGGATTCTCGAACGATTGTTCTTCAATGCGGGCTGCTCAACTGGAGGTTCAACCGGGGAAGAGGAGGGCGAGGGCGGGTTTGGCCGGATGTACGGACGGAGTAGTGGGGGATGTGAATTGGAAGGGCTTGTCTGCGGTAAGACAGCAAAAGGCCCAGCAACTCGGATACTGCGACTGTTTGCACCACAGAGCTCCTTGCTTTGTTTCTTTTTCTCGCAAAAGCCAGAGAAAAATTGTACCTGGGTGAAAGGGCCACCTGTGTACTACTCCGGAGTAGGTCAAGTAGCTTAGTTTCGCCGCAATAAATCGCTCATGATTCGGAGTTGAAATGCCGAAAGTGGAAATGTTTTTGCTTTGAGTTTAGCGTAATTCTCGGCGGGTCGTCCAGCGGATTAACTCTCGTTCCGGTGGGTTGAGCTTCGGCCAATCACGGTTTAATCTGCATACTCAACGCGTCCCCGACACGAACTGGCCGCGGGAAGTCGTCGCGCATCGGCAAGCTACAGTTCAGTTGGGTACCATCTTGATACTCGTTCGAATTGCGTCTGGTGCTTTTGGTCAAGCAGGATTGGCAATTCGCGTTGTTTGTATTCAAGTCTCCCGTCTTGAAAGCTGGAATAGCTGCGATGGATCAAACCGAGGAAGCTGGACTCGAAGAGGTATGTATCCCACTATCAGGGTGGTGCGGTGCTTGCCCCCCTGCGTATACGGCTTGGGCAGTTGTGCTGATTGTTGTCTTCGAACTCAATACAGCGTTTGAAATCTGCTCTTTGGCTGGCGATTGGGAGGATCGTGGACGAAGAGACTATCAAGCTCGGGATCAACGCCACGCCTCAGTTCATCGGGGCATTGACAGAGTTGGTCTGGGCTCAGATAGGTTGGTGTTTCTGTCCCTCTCCTCTGCCTACCATCGAGCCAGTATGCTGGATGCATTCTATCAGCAGCGTTCTTTCGAATGTCTCTCGTTGGATGCTTCCTTCTCTCGTACCAGACTTGCGCCCGAATGCTGACCCGAATCCCCAATAGAAACCGTTAGCCAGGACTTGGAATCATTTTCCAAGTAAGTGATACCCTTGAGTGATTCTTCTGCCTGGGGAATTTCCTCTCATGACCAAAAGCTGGCTGCCTTCTTGTGGTTCTGTCTGACGCCCAGAGACGTTGATATTACGATATGCTGACATGCTCGGCTTTCCGTTTTAGGCATGCCGGCCGCTCGACGGTCAATGTCACCGATGTCATGCTCCTGGCACGCCGCAACGAGGGCTTAGAGTCCATTCTCCGCGCGTTCGTTGAGCAGATGCGCGATCGAGAAGCCTGATTCAATGGGGACCCACTGACTGGTGTTCCCTTCGGCGGGGATTACTTCGGTCCAAAATTGATGTGCAGATCTACCCAACTGCCTCCATATCATTGGTGGCTGGGCAAATCTGCCATTCAGAGCCAACTTTTAGAGCATGTAAGGCAAACCCGTTCACTTACGTCTCATGACAAGTCCCCGTAATCGAGGGGGTGGCTAATCTTTTGGCAGGAATGGTGGCGGGCCGTGTTCCAAATGACAGCTGCGGAGATCAAATTGACGTGAATCTAGAAGTTCTAATTCGTCGCGATTCATGACGCCACTGCTCGAGCATCCTGACAACGCAAACAGGCACGCGATATCTCCGGGCGCCATCAACCTCGACGGTCTAATCACGGCGCCAATTCCAGAGAATTCTGAACCTATCGCTGAACCACCAGCTTTCCTCTGACGTCGGACGAGGGCCAGCAAATCATGCTCGCGCTATTCCTGGACTGATCCAAAGAGAAATGAGAACACCTCCGGGAGCCACCCGTGAGGCTCGCTTCAACGCAGGGTCAATGCAACATCAGATACCTTATGTTGTAATGATTGTCAGATGAACAGCCTCTCGTCCGACCAATTGAACATCATGTAGGCAAAGTACTGTACATACACTTCAACCAATCAATGAAATCTGAAAACATATCCTGCTCGCGAGGGAGACCTCATATCGACTTAACGTCATTGCCACGTCTGCAATTCGCCGCGACATCTTATATAGCACTCTCTTCATGAAAATGGCTGTATCCACTTTTCATTGACAGCAAACCTTGACCGTATTCGCCATTGCGTTGCTTGACGAGTGTGTATAACACAATACCAATTTATATCGTATGACGAATCCAACTCGACGAAAGCGAAACTAAAATGCTGAACAACACTGCGACTGACTCGGTCAAAGCATTGCGGACAACTCTGACGGGCACTGCACCCATCATGAAAGCAGTGCGCTTCCACGGACGGGGCGACATCAGGGTCGATGAGATCGAAGAACCGACATGCGGGAAGGGACAGGTCAAGGTAATTTTTCCCTCCATGTAGACGCGTATTCTCTACTGAAGGCCACGCCCGTAACATAGATGCGACCTGCCTTCGTCGGAATCTGTGGCAGTGGCAAGCGATCTCCCGTCACCACTCAAGGATCTCTACGTCCGTACTAACCCTCCTAGACTTACACGAATACCTGGGCGGTCCAGTCCTGGTACCTCAGGGACCGCACAAGATCACCGGGGCCACGCACCCCGTAACCCTGGGCCACGAATTTGGCGGGATCATTGAAGAGGTCGGCGAGGGCGTGACCCACGTCTCGCCGGGCCAGCGAGCCGTCGTACGGCCCACCATCTTCGACAAAGAGTGCACGTCCTGCAAGCTGGGCTACGAATACTGCTGCGAGAACATCGGCTTCATCGGGCTATCAGGTACGCCCGCACCCTGACACCTTTCTTGGCCTCAAGCAAGAGACAAGGACGAGCAAAAATCCGGCTGACCACCCAACCATCTGCATACAGGGTACGGCGGCGGTCTAGCCAAGTACATCGTCGCACCAGCCGACCACTTCTACCCGCTACCGGACACCATCTCCCTGGAGGCGGCGGCGCTGATCGAGCCCCTGGCGGTGGCCTGGCACGCGGTGAACATCTCCCCCTTCAAGCCCGGCGACAGCGTCCTGGTCCTCGGCGGCGGGCCCGTGGGGATCGGGATCGTGCAGGTCCTGAAGATGCAGGGGGCGCAGAACATCCTGGTCGCCGAGCTGATGGCGAACCGCCAGCGACTGGCGCGGGACTACGGCGCCGCGCACATCATAAACCCGCGCGCGGAAGGGCCCGGCGGTAACACGGCGGCGCGCGTCCGCGAGCTGACGGGGGGCGCCGGCGCGGATGTCATCTTCGATACCGCGGGCGTGGAGGCGGCGCTCGACGAGGCGATCGGCGCCTGTCGCACTCACGGCACGATTGTCAATATCGCGGTCTGGGAGAAGCGGCCCGCCTTGAGGGTGAATGACCTCATGTATAGCGAGTTGAAGTATACGGGGTCGGCGCTGTATGATGAGAGCGCGTTTGTGAGTGTGATTCAGGCGCTGAATCATGGTATGTTTCATGCCCTATCCTTTGGGTGATTGTTGATGGTTTGGTCGACGGGAGGCTCTAACATGGGTGATAGGCCAGTTGGCTCCGGAGAAAATGGTCACCGCGAAGATCGGGTTGGATGATGTGGTGGAGAAGGGGTTTAAGGAGCTGGTGAATTATCGAGATGCGCACTGCAAGATTCTGGTCGATGTGCAGGCGTAGAGTTCGAGGGGCTTGCTGTTGACGTGCTAACGATGATACGAGTTTCTTATTGCCACGGTGTATGATATTGTTGAATATGCGCCATTGCCATTGCCATTGCATGATACTGCAGTACCCACAGCATTGAGTAAATGTGTCGCTGCTACCACTGTACACTACTGTAACAAGAGTACCCCAGTCCAGCAATCGCACCCATTAACACTGCCCAGCGCACACATCCACTAACCCACAACCACCGCAACTCCCCCACTGATCCATCCCATAAGTGCCACATCACCCGTATACTCAGTTAAAAAAAATGACACCGACAATTCGCCACCCACCAGAACCCCGCATACTGTGTGACAGCAACCTGAAGTCATATTTACGATGCGATTGAACCAGGCATTTCATTTTTAGATTATGGTGCCATTCCAAGTGGCAAAAACAACAACTGGGTCCCATAGCTCAGTTGGTTAGAGCGTAACGCTAATAACGTTAAAGTCGAGGGTTCGAGCCCCTCTGGGACCAGCTTTCTTTTTGTTTTTGTGTGGGCTTCATCCGGTAGGTGAACGCTGGCTTTGATTGCTTGAGGCTTTTTCAAGGGAGGGGGGGGTGTAGCTCAGACTATTCACATTTGTCTTCATGCAGATTGGTTGTTGATTGACTCGCTAGGCAAGTGTATAGATAGGGGATGGGTACCTCGAATTGCCTTCATGAAATGCGACAAAGTCATCCGCCATACCCCCGGGGAATGATCGCGGCGTTCGTCGTTGGAACTAGGCAATCTTCGTCCAGTAGATTGGGTGGTGCCTTTGTCTGTCGGCTGTACTTGGGATTAGATGTTGACTATTGACTATTGACTATCGACACGGTCGACCGTGCACCTGGGAGTATAGTCCACCAGCCTGGTTGAGACTCCCAAGGCAGGTCGTACTTGCACGCCTGCAAGTGCATATCATCTCATCTGATCCTGAGCCTACATCAACATCAGACCTCGCAGGCATTCCCCTTTGAGAAAGGGGGAAGGGATCGAAAGCTACGCCGAACTGTACATCGAGCTTCGATCCACCATCTGAACCCGGGCCTGGTCACCCCATCCAGCCACATACGAATTTAACTAACCGAGCTTTTTGCAGCATCCACCTCTACAGACTCAAGTATGCTGTGCTCCTCTGCTAGATGCAAAGGTTCCTGTCCTTGCGACGTTTCGGGATGAAGCGACACGATTTGTGTAGCATTGCGCCGCCGCCCGCAGCAGCTGCAGACGTGGATGGCGTGGGATGCATCTTGAGGAGTCTTTCTCCACTCGGTGCAGTCAACGGGAACAGCGCAGACCCGTGAAGCAACTCGAGCATGATAAGATCGTCTGTGAAGAGAGTCCTTAGCAGTGACTTCTTCCAGGGGAAGGTGGAACGCTACTGAACAGTCCAATCTACCAATTCACAAACGCTCTACATGGCGGTACTGTACCTAGAGGGCGGGCGGCGCATTGAGTCACTCGCATTGATCGTCTGGCCGCTGCGACATGGTAGTGCTTGGATATGGACATCGAATTCGCGGACTATGGGTCTGACTTAGACTCTGGCGCCTTCTGCACATGGTAGTTCGGTTTGATGTGCCTGTCCCTGGGGGTGTACTGCACATACCACGAAACCGAGAATCAGCACCTCTTTCCTTCCGTCCCTATTCATGCGATTAAGTCGGCGACAGGGAGCAGATCACTCCAACACTGTGTAGACCTGCAAAAGAGAATGCACAGGGGCAAAAAGATGGTCCCAGAGGGGCTCGAACCCTCGACTTTAACGTTATTAGCGTTACGCTCTAACCAACTGAGCTATGGGACCAGTTGCTGTTGGTGTTCGGTCGATGGTGTGTTACATGTGGTTAGGCATAAGATTAAAGGGATTTGTGTATACCGGGGATGGGGTTTGATAATAAAGCAATTTTATTAAGCAATTCTAACTCACCCCTTTGTGAGAATATATATCTAACAAATTGGATCGGGAGTCATGGGGTTGAGATACAGTGGCCGTATATATACCATGCTCGGGTGGCTCTGCAGTAGATAGGATATGTCTCTGGGTTGGGCCTGGGGGGGGTAGCAGTACATAGTAGTAAGTACTATTGGAATGTTTTGCTGCAAATCCCATCATCTGCTTGTCCTAGCCTGACAATGGGCATTTCGCTACTTACGGTCGCTGCGAACGTGATAATGCTTGCTTGGCCTGAATTGCTCCAAGCGCTGCTACTGATGGCTATTATAGCCCATCTTATGGGCAGGATATACAGAGCCTCTGTTTACCAACTGAGTGGTAGAAACCTCGGTGTTCTTGGATATCTCAGCCTATAGAATCTGTATTGCTTGGGTGTATTGTATCAATTCATCTATTAGAACAATCGGCAGAGCTTCTATGCTACTTATTCCAACCACCTTCGAAGCAACAATCTCGTCAGAGCTGCTATACACTCAATCGCTGTCTTCTATCATTGCTAGGTGAAGGGTTGTGAGCGTCTCCTCACTCCTCAACTCACTGAGGCTTGGTGCTCTAGGAAACAACAAGAAGGACCAAAGCAAAGCAGCCCCGAGTAATCGGCCCTGTGCACAGGCATCATCCGCAGTGAAGAGACTAGAACCCTACTTCGAGCACAAGGTGGGGGGAGGCACATGCACCAGCACGTCTAAATCTCAAATGTATATCCTATACTTACTTTCACCTAACCTTTGATCTTGGGGATTTAAACTCTTTTCACGGCCTCCGGGTCTGATGCTGTTGGGGCATCGAAGATCAAGCCATTCTGGCGAAGCATCTCATATTGTCTTGGGGAGGGATAACCCCCCCAAGAATCTAGAGTGCTTTCTGTACTTTGAAATCGAACTTCACAGACCCCGTCGTTACACCAGCAGTGTTGACGAGCTTTGGATGATGAAACCTCGCCAGCCGGTGCCAGATCTCCGGCGTCCCGATGCCAAGTTGCTGCAGTATCTCCATGACCGCCGCGTAAAGCATGCCAATGTTGCCATCTTCGATTTTGACCGCGATGCCAATCGCTCCATCGCGTCCAGGCATCTGGGCGCCGCATTCGGAGGCTCGGACGGCAACCCCGTAGCAGCCGTCCGCCCCCCAGCTTACCGACCACCGCGCCCCCGTAGGCATGCATGAGGGTGGTGCAGAAGCGCCCCTGTCCAGCGACCAGCTCCGGGTGCTGCACCAGTGCGGTGAAGACTTTGCGACAGGTGTCGCGTCCTGGCGGTGGTTGAGACCGAGTCCAGACTCCTCTGGACTTCATCGGCCGATTCGGCGAGGCGACCAAACACCGTCGCGAGATTCTGCAGCGGAAGAGCGGGCGCTAGGAGATTACACCCGTCATTACACCAGACGACATCCCCGGGGTCGAGGCCGGACAGGTCGGCGATCGCGTGGCGGACCTGGCCTTGCAACGGATGCTCCAGGCGATGATAGTCCTCGATCCGGGTCCCCAGCGCCCGTGCCCCGGCGATCATGCCCGCATGCTTGCCGGAGCAGTTGTTGTGGATGGCGGTAGGGGTGATCCCTGCCCGGGCCACATGTTCGTCCTCGCTGCTGTGCAACGCGCACATCAACGCGATGTCGCCAGTGTCCAGGTTGAAGATCTCATGCGCCCCGGTTTCCAGCACCGCGAGCGCTTGGACCGGCTTTGCGGTCGATCTTGCCAGCGTGATCCGCATGGGATTGCCGACCGAATAGAGTAATTTGCCGTACGGTCCACGACGGCGGCATGGACGTGATGCCGATTCTCCACGACGCCGCCCCCGTTCGGAAAAGATACAATCGCTTGAACACCATGTCATGGTTTCCCGATCCTCGCTTGGTGATATCGTTGCCTCTACTTCTGCTGGAGAGGTGAGTTGAACGCTTCTCGCACTCGATCGGTCAATACGGCGTAGACTCATTTGACTTTTGTCTTTTGGACCGGAGTAGGATATTCGGGTTTCACACACACACACACACACACACACACACAGGACTGCCGGTTTCCGTCGCAGATGGAGGTTAGCGGTCAGAGTGTAAATCAAAAGGATGCATGCTATTGTTCTAGGGTTGTCGGTTCCTGGCCCAGATGATAGCTTCTCCGAGCTCGGTCCGAGTGTCTCATACCCATTCGGGAATCCAAATTCGCCTGCCCAGTGCCCGTGGGTCACTCGGCTCAGCTTTTCCTTTTTTTTCTTTTTTCTTTGTCAAGATGGCTATCATGGATCGCACCGGATTTCCAAAACTGGCGAACTCTTGCGTCTCTGGCAGATTCTTCTGGTCGTTGAGGAATTGGGTTTTAGAGCTACCTGGTTATTACTTAAGTTAACCATCGATGGAGCCAGATAAACTAATATATCTGACCTTTTTCACTACTCATCTGATCGGACTGGTTAACGTAGGGAATCGAGGGTTCAGTGAGGGCTTTTTGAGATTGGCTAGATATATTAGGAAACAACTGATGCAGGAAAGAGTATTCTGAGGTCTGCAACTATAGGCGTTGGGGGGGGGGGGGGGGGGGGTTTATCAATAGGTTACAATCGTGCAGGGCGGAACTTGCAGGCAGCACGGCTATCTATACGTTAGGCCTAGGGCAGAAAGGAAAAGTAGTACAATACGTACCTTTATTTCCGCGGGAATTCTGCTCGGCAGTACTGCTGCTGCTGGTAGTATTGACACAGTATAGGTTTTGTCCGGTCGCTTGGAGGGCCTTTTGTTGGCGTATAACTTAGTAGCTGTATGTAGGTTTGGTTTGGTTTTTAGGGCTTGTCTTGTGCGGTAAATGGTTCACCGGGGAAAACCCTCGTACGGTACCGTACTTACTTACAAGTTCGCTGGTCTGGGTACTGTATGCACAGCACTGTAATCTGGTATCTGGTACCCTGGTGTCTACGGTGTAAGGTGGATTGCATTATACGTAGTTCAGTTCTATGTCCCCCGAAACCTCGGATGGGCTATACTTCATCTACGGAAATAGGCTACTGCCGAATTGAGTTTGGTGGGTGACGTCTGACCGTGGTCGTTCCTATACATCGGGTGTGGTCGTCTAGAAGCGGCGCCATGGAGTATCCGGGAGTGTTGCTGCTCATGGCTCTGTGTCTTGTCTACATTATTGCCAAGTAGCTATGGCAGTGCCTGGGCGTCCGGCACGTCCACGGCATCCATCGCTGCTTCACTTTGCTGTGGTCGGGTTGGGAGTTGACAAAACAGTACATGCTCTTTCTTGCAGGCAGACAGACCAATAACTTACTGCGTACTGGATAAGGTGGTGCAGGAGCAAAAAAAGATGGTCCCAGAGGGGCTCGAACCCTCGACTTTAACGTTATTAGCGTTACGCTCTAACCAACTGAGCTATGGGACCCAGTTGTTGATTCCGGGCCTAAATTAATGCTTTATGTGCCAAACATTACCGCCGTGTAGCGACTTGTTGAGATATAGCAGGGTTGTGGTATTGAGGATTGGATGGATTGCGGTGTGTGTCTGTTGCCTGGCTTGGGAGGAATCGGGTATTGATTTTTGGTGGCTGATAACGCTATAATTGGATGGTAGTTACGTTTCTGCGGGCTTGCAATTTTGTTCCTGGTAAAGGTCCAGTGTGGGTTGGGTGGGCTATGTATATAAGTTACCGAGTACCGTAGTTGCCGCGGCTGTGTGGTCTACATGAACCCTACACAAGGTATACCAAGTACTGTGTGTGCATCACTCCCGTATCTGTCGGGCACCGCTGGCCCGGACACGATTCTCAGGTGTGCACCCCCTGCACGTATGTGCTTCTCCGCCAGAACCCATCCGACTGCACGATATACTCCCCGAATCGATCCTATCCCCCCCCCAGAGTATGTTAACTGATGCTAGGCAGACCTCTTCTCCTAATATTGTCCCCTAGCTCCCAGCCCATCTCAAAGCCTTTGCTTGGACACATCTATGCGAGGAATTGAAAGCCTTCGATCAATCGAGTGACCCACTCACCCAATCTTTGGAACAGCGCTGGGAAGCCCTGACTTCCGGGGTATGGTGTCGACTCCAAGAGCGGCAGAAGGAGATGGAGTGGATCGGCAGAAGCTCCTTGTGACCTGGCCACGAGTACGGGCTCAATCCGATAGCCAGCAAGTGATATCGGGGGTCTTGTTTGGGGGGAGGAGGGGGTAGTGGCACAGCGAGAATTTTTAACCTGAGAAGGATGATTGCCAGCGAGAAAAGAAGAGGAAGGAGATTAAGCCTCCGGTGTACAGTGAATATGTAGCTCGCTGACAGTTTACAGTGGTTACTATATAGTAAGTATACAGTGACTCGTGCCTGTGGTGATTGGGTTGACATTTGATGTCTAGTTGAGTAGTAACTGAGCTAGCAGCCTGGGCCACGTTTCTTTGGTGCATTTGCATCTCATGCGTTTGGTCACTCTGCTGCAGTGCTCGGGCTGGTCGTGACTGATGTACATCGCATATTTGACTGGAGTTAGATGTACACGTCCGAACCGAGCGGGATATATATATGAAATTACACTACCCGCGGGTCGAACGAAAGCCTTCCAGAGCCAGCGATTCTCCACCGAAGTTCAGAGCTCACAGAACGGCAGAGCTACATGGATCGACCACATAAATGACTAGTCAATCCTGAGCCTGAACAAGTCAAGCCAGTCAATCCGCCGCAGACGGTTAGCCTACGGCAGTATTGGCTAGGAACATATAACATTCTATCCTCGGCCGAATCAACAAGTGGGGTCCCATAGCTCAGTTGGTTAGAGCGTAACGCTAATAACGTTAAAGTCGAGGGTTCGAGCCCCTCTGGGACCATCTTTTTGCCCCCATGCATTCTGTTTTTGCCACTGGACCTCATTGGAAAGTCGAGATAGAGGCCCGAGAATGGGAAGACACAGACGAAGGAGGTTGACCGATGAACCGAGACTCCACGATGCAGGTCCTATCGAGTGCCAGGTCTGGTAGTACATCCACACCCCACAGATGGTTGGCAGCTTTCCTTTGTATATCAAAATGGGCCGCTTTTTGCTGGTACAACAGTAACTCACTCGACACTTCGCAGCGTCATGCTAGCAAGGTTTGTGGCTGACCGGGTCCACCGCCCAAGTCAACCTTATCAGCAAACTCTAAGTGAAATGAATTGAGTTTGGGACATACTAGACTATATCATCACGGCATCACCACGTAGGCGCCATTCCCCCCTCCCCATTTTGTTAGCCTAGCCAGAAATAATTCCACGGAGTCTTCAGACGCAAGCTGTTCCCGACCCGACTCATACCCGTCTTGAAGGATATGCCCATCGAGATCTGTATCCCCCCCTCGCCAACCGCATCAATACCACAACACAACACCACACCAGTCACCGCCCACCGCATACATACACCCGTCCTACAAGAAACGGAGACATCGCGCCCCATCAACTGCAGCGGCTAGCCTTGTACCTAAGGTACCCCCGCAGACGACCACCGAATCCGACATCAACACCTAACTGGTCCAATGGCCTGCACATACTGTAACATCCACCAACGCAGAAGACCTCCCATGCACCCACAAAATCATTCCCAGCTAAGGTTAAAGGTACACACCACTATTCCACTGACTTCGGAAGGGCCCCGCTCACCGGCAAGCACCAGCTCAACATACGGAGTACAAGCATCCCCAACGCCCCCCTCCAACAACACCACAACCTCCGCAGATCTCACGAACAGATACATATAATACCCGGCTTTTTACGACCACTAATTACCAATGGTGTGTAGCGCACTAATTCCAGCGTCCATCACAACAACCTGGTCCCATAGCTCAGTTGGTTAGAGCGTAACGCTAATAACGTTAAAGTCGAGGGTTCGAGCCCCTCTGGGACCATCTTTTTGCTATCCATCCATGTCTTCTTTCTGTTTTTGCTAGTGGACCGATCCTATGCGAGGTGAGAGCTGTAGGAAGACAGACAGCGTTGGGCTGAGTTGTTGCTTTTCTTTTGTTCAGTTTGCTGGGCAGAGGGTGGTTGTAGGTGGGGGGTACTAGATATGCCATATGCCCTTGGAATGCAATCGTGATCTGATCGGATGAGAATGCTATGTACAACGCACGTAGTGGTATCTAGCCTTGAAGTAGGCAACTAGGTAGTCTCGTAAACCCCATAACCCCATTATCAGTAACAAGGAAGAATGGTAGTTAAAATCTACCGATCACCCTTCTTCACCCCCCTCACCTCCTTCATCCCCTCCTCCACCAACCACACACTCACATCCTGCGCATCCCGGCCGACCCGCCAGCTCCCCAGCACCACACCGCGGGTCTCGAGCAGCTCCTGCGCGCGCTCCCACCGCCGCCGCCACATTTCTTCCCGTTTATTCGGCAGCGGCGCGGCAGGCGGCGGGTTCTCGGAACCCCCGGTCCGGTCCGTGGCACCGCCGGTGTTGGTTCGATTAAGTGAGGAGTTCGACTGCGTGGAGCGGAGGATGTTGGCCGGGGAGGCGGACCAGTTCAGACGTTCGGAGGCGTACTGCAATGCTGCGGAGGCTGCTGCGGCGGGGTAGGATTGCTGCTGCTGCTGCTGCTGCTGCTGCGGTGGCTTTTGAGGCGGGGTGGGACGGTTGGCTGTGGATTGCTGGGATGAGCCGGAGCTTTCGACGGACGCCAGGGTGTTGGCTCGACGAGGCGGAGGCGGAGGCGGAGGTTGCTTCGAGCGGATAACCTTTGCATCTCCCATCTCCCGGTCGAGACCGGCGGTCTTCGGCCGCGTGGGTAGTTGCTGCCTCGTGTTTTCCACGGCCGTAGTCCGGTCCGGCGAGACCTCGGGCTTGGTGGAGGACCGACGCGGCGGTAGGGGAGGCACGGGCTTCCGCTTGATCGACTCCCCCACCGACATATCGGGGCTCGTTGAATTCGAGCGGAGAGAGGAAGGCTTCGACGGTTTAGCTGGGGGTGTCCGTCCGGCGGGAGACACCGAGGGGGTCTTCCGATCCCGGGATGAGGTTTCCCGCTCGTCGTCATCACGAAGATCAATCAGATCTCCATTGTCCAGGCTGACGGCATCTGCAGATGGGTTGTTGGCCGATGATGCGAGAGGCCGTCGAGGCGGGAGCGCCGGCCGCTTGGGGGCTGCATCGGAGTCGTCGACAAGCTGGGGATCGCTGCGACTCGCCGACACTCTGTGTTCCAGATAGTCCACGGACTTCTCGAAGAACTCCTTCTTGTGCGTTGTGGTGACGTCGCGGATGAAGATGCCAAGGATCCTGCCTGGATTGGCCAGGACGATATCGGTATAGACCTCCAGATCCGCCTCGCCGCTGTCGCCGACCAGGATGAACTTCCGCGAAGGAAAGTCTTTTAGGATCTGCTCGAGGTTGCCCTTCTTCCGCTCCGCCGTGGGCTCAAAGATCCCCTGGAGCATCCCACTGTACTGCTTGAGATGAATGGAGCCCGGAGGCAAGCCGACTTGCTTGAAGTACCGCTCCAGGAGCGGGTAGAGCTGCCACGGGGCGTTCGAGACATAATGGAAATCCACCCCCATCTTCGCCAGCTGATTGTACCAGTCCGCCACACCCTCGATCGTCAGATCGGCCAACTCGCGGACGAAGGTATTCCGGAAGATCTCCTTAGCGCCGCTCGCGATGGCCGAGTGCTTCACCGTATCGTCGATATCACTGATCAAACTGATCCCGGAGGGCTCGATGATCTGCACTTCCTTCACGACCGACAGATTCTCCGAGGCGAGGACGCGGATATGGGTCGGGACGAAGGGCAGAGCGGCGCGCATCCTGAAATGGCCGGATACATCCGTCATGATACTCCTCGACTGACTCCGGGTCTCGTCGAAAAAGAACACGGTCACCGGCATATCCGTGACGGGGTTTGTGAGAAAAGGACGCAACCGCTCCATCAGATGCGCATTGGCCATCGAGAGCTCGTCCTTGGTCATCTGCGTCGTCGTCGTCGTTGTCGCAGTACTCGCCAAACTCGACGAGGTCCCCGTCCGTTGCGGCAGCCGCCCCGGGACCACCCCGGGATTATTATCTCTGTCGCCTCGATCGCCCCCCAACGCAGTCTCCTTCCACGCCGAATCCGCACGCCCCTCCGCCCCCTTGATAATAGACTGAGCCTCCGTATCGACCAGCTCCTCCTCCCGCCGATCCGTCTTCCCCCCCGATTCATCCCCCAGATTCCCCCCCGATCCAGCCCCCGCATTATTCACCGGAGCAGGCACACCACTCAACTTCCTCGCCAAAGCAACCATCAACCGATGCTTCCGCGTCATGGGCCCGCGATGCGGCGCATAGAGCCAACCGCGCACATCCACCGAGACGACCGCATTCTTCTCCACATAGTCATCAAACCCGGCCACCGTATTTTGGTCTGTGTCAAGACCACGATACTCATCAATCGTCGCATTCGAGCCCCTCCGCCTCGCCCACGGGTCATCACCGCCCACAACATCACCCTCATCATCGCCTGGCCCCCTCGCCTCTCCACCTCTGGCTCTAGCATCATCCCTCACAATCCGCCGCCCATAACTCGGAAAAATCACCATCTCCTCCAACCCAGATCGCGCAATCTCCACATCCGGAAACGCCCCCGGCGCATCGCCCGTGTGGTACTCATCACCGTAATCCCGCTGCTGCGGCCCGCCCTGCCCATTCAACTGCGCCGCCCACTGCGCCGCATACGTCTGCCGCAGCTCGTTCGCCGCCTTGAGGTAATCGTAGACCTTCTTGCGGCGCGCGCCGCGAGGGGCGCCGGCCCCGCCATAGGAGGAGGAGGAGGAGGTGTTGGACTCGTATTGTGACATGGTCGTTGCTGGCGTTGCACCCGTTGCAGCTGTCGCACCCGTCGCAGCCGTAGCCGTAGACGCAGAAGCAGACACCCGTCCCCGCCTACTCCTACCACCCAACAAATACCCTAGAACCCCACCACCGCCACCAGCGCCACCACCCCGTGAATCACCAAACCGAACCTGCGCAAGCTTGCGGGCCTGACGCCTGACGATCGCCCGGTAGACGCGGGCCTGGGCGCGGTGCCGGAGCGCCGGGAGGGTTTCGTGGCGGAGACTCCAGAGGCGGAGCTGGGCGCGGCGGAGCGAGTGCGGGCCTAAGAGGAGGGTCCAGAGGCGGGTTTTGGGTCGAAGAGGGTTGCGGGCGGAGGATTGTAAGGGTGGAGGGGCGAGGAGAGGGCGACTGCGGCGGAGGAGGAAGGGGAGGGGTCGTTTGGTGGTGGGTGTGGGTGTAGGGGGCGGGGGCGCGCGCCGGCGGGAGGATAAGGAGAAGGAGGAGGAGCGAGGGAGGAATTTGGGAGCCACGGTTTTTTGCTCTTCTCTTTTCAAGATGGTTTATTGGGTGTAAGTGCGGTATCGCTTGGGTTGTGTGGATGTGATGAAGGACGGAAGATTGAAGTTGAATCGCTGGAGGGTGGGTTGGAGGTTTGGAAGTTGATGGGGCTGGGGGCTGGGCTCGTTTTGTGTGGAGGCGATGACGAACGACGAACTTCCTCGGGGAGTAAGCAGCGAGTGTCTAGAGGGATCTTGTCAAGGTGGTTGCATCTCTTTGGTAATCATCGAGATTTGACATGAACGAAGGACTTGCAGCTGTAAAATACAGACTGTGGAAATTCGGCAAGAGAAATTAAGACATGATCTAGGTCACAAGTCTCAGAATTGAGCGTCTGAAGGGGGTAAAACAGGGCGAGGGCCTCGAAGCGCACCGCAACGTCAAGCTGACGGCCGGAAGAAACCCGCGGTGGGGACACACACACTTGGCCCGATTGGGAACATCTCTATCATTTCCCTACTATCGATGGCTTTGTCTAGACTCTGGAGTAACCTTGTAGGTAAATTGTCACATTACCATTAAGCAAATCTCTAGCTGATCCTTATATATACTACTGTACACTCTTTCTATGATCTAGCCATACTAGATAGCGTATAACCACCCAGTGACTGTTCACAGGACGCTGCGAGGTCCGATCAACCGGCAACTGAAAAACAGTACCTCTACCCCTGCTGTGCGACATAACCCCACCGCTGGGCAGGAGGAAGCAAAACTCAGATGCTCGTCAAGAACTCCATAAATCTTCCGCATCTCGGAGGTGCATGTCCGCATGCCTAATGCACGGCTGTTCTCATGCACGGTTAATCTGCAGCTGCAGCTGCAGGCGCCCAACAGACTTTACGCCGTAGCTAGACGACCTGACGGACATCAAGCCGAATCAGGGTCCTCGGTATAATTCACCGTCTTCGCCCGCCTACTACGACGGACCCCAGCCCCCTTCGTGCCGGTAAGCTCCGGTGGCTCCGGGATATCGGGGTTTTCCATGTCCACGTCCGAAGCAGACGGCGTGGAAGCGATGGGCGAAGCCTTCCGTTTCCTGGATGTCGGCTTCTTGACACTGGGGGTCCGCTGGACCCGCCGCGTGGCCTTAGAGGCTGGTGTGACCGGCGCCCCGTTCTCTTCGCCGTTGGCTTCCGGCTCGCCTTTCGGCAACGGTGAGTCGGCATTGGCGGCGTCCTTCGTCTTCTTCGAGACCGGTGTCTTCCGTGGGCTCTGAGGGACTTTGCGAACGACCTTCTTCGGTCGGAGCCATTCCTCCATGCCGGGCGGCCAGTACACTCTTCGCTGGGGTCCGCCCATGCCGACCTCCTCTTCCGGAACTGTCCGTTCAGGGGGGACTTGACCTTCGAGATCGACGAATCCCTCCTTCTTCTTCGTCTTCCTCGGAGGCTTGAATGGTTTGTTTTCGTCCGTGCGCATGTAAGGTAGCATGTCGTTGAAGAGCTCATAGCCTGGTAGCTTGAAAGTCCTCATCAGCTCGAACACGGCCTGCTCTTTGTCCTTGGCTTCGATCATGAGATCCATGGTCGGATCGCACGGAGGAAGAGTGGACACACGGTCGCTGTGCTTTCGACGTTGTCGGTTAGTGATGGCGGCCGCGGTGGGCTCGGAGTAATGCATCTTCTGGGTGATGTTCTTCCGCGTCCAGGTCGCTTTGATCCGGTCATACAGACCGATAATATCCTGCGTCCCCTCGCGGACTTGTGTCGCGTCGAAGATGATGTTGTGATGGTGAAAGTCCAGAACAAGAGGGATGTTCAACTCCTCGCAGATGGGCAAGAGATCGTGCACCGACCAGCTGACGTCGTCGTTCTCGAGCACAAGTCGGTTCTTGACATCCTGCGGCAAGGCCTGGTAGTTCTCTCGAAACCGGTCGAGAGTAGCCTGCTTATCACCGAAGACACCGCCCATGTGCAGGATCATGACTGCATCGCGGTCCTGCTGCGGGGGCAGACGAAGCAACTGCAGCATTTCAGAGTGATAATCCAAGTCCCGCAGAGAGTTCTCCACCACGCCATCATTCGGCGAGCCGAGTTGGGTGAACTGGCCCGGGTGGGTGGTCACGCGATGACCCAGCTCGGCGACGAGTCGACCGACCTCGGCCAGCGCTTCCGAGGCAAACGGCGCCAGCTTGTAGCCATACTCCTTGTGACTCGCAAACGGGAACATCTCACTGCTCAGCCGCATGAACCTGATCCCATACTTGTCATTCCAGCGGATGATCTTGAGAAGATCCTTCGCGTTCGTGAGCCCCAGAGCCTCGACATACGCCTGCCCGCGTGCCACATCAGCCGGCTGATCGCGGTCCGGGCGATTCTTCGTCGGATGGGGGGGTTGCGTGGGGTCCAGGAGAGGATGCCGATTCTCCAAAATGGAGGCGATGCGGCAGGTTCGAGAGCAGAAGACAGGCGGGTTCGAGTACCGCAGGTACGTGTTCAAACAAGCCTACGAAAATCATGTTAGAGGACAGACGACAGACACACGCCGGAGAGCGAACTCACATAGCCCAATCGCCCTTTCCAGGGGAGGGGCAGGTAGCTGCTGTGGACGGGCGGAGGCCGCGACAACGCGTCTTGCAGCTCTTCCGCTTCAACGGGGACATCTTCATCCGACTCCGGATCCAAGGGGGCAGCAGACGCAACAGTGGCAGCATCGCTCGTCTCAATGGACCCAGGTTCAGCTTTGATGCCCGGTTTCTCCGCGCCGTCAGGCAGACTGCCACCTGCGCCGTTGGGTTTTATCTCAGTGGCGGCAGCCATTTCGTCAGCAGCCGGGGACTCGAGAAGCTCACTCGCAGCTCCGGATAATGGGCGAGACGGGGTAAAGGTTGCGACAATGGATGGGGTCACAATGCGTGACGGGGAGGTAGGAGACAGGGAAGGTGTGGCAGGTCTGCTCGAGTACGACAAGAGGCGCCTGCCAGCAATAAAGCCTAGGGAGCGGTAGGATCTCTGCGATTGTGTAATTGCGAAAAGCAAATTCGCCGCTGATGAGGGGTGGCGAACCTGGCGGGAGGAGCCAGAGCCAGATTCCTGGCCGCGTCCGGCATATTGGAGAGCGCAATCAATCCTCCACTGCCTGGGCGAAGCAGACCCCCGCCAATACATCTAGCAGGGCAGGAATTCTAAGAAAAAATAGAATTCCAAGGCTCTAAGTGAGACAGGTTCTCAGGCGCATCGTCAAACAAAAAAAGACAAAGAAATCTAGGCAAAACAGGTCTGTTGGGCGGGGATCCCATGCAGCATCATCATCATCGTTGTTGCGCAGGGATTTAATCGGGACGAAATGCAGAGGGTATGATGCAACAGAGAGTCAAGGAAGAAAAGATGTCGAGGCCGGGGCTCCAGGCTAGACGAGAGAAGCCTTAGGCAGGGCACTAGTCACGGGCACTAAGCATGGTTCGGCGGCGCGGTTCCTGCATCCCGGAGGGATCGCCGATAGATCACAGCAGATCTAGTACAACACCACGATAAATTACACTGCAGGCGCTAAATGACCCCTTAAGAGAATGTCTCCCATAAAACTATATTATCATTTTTGGGAAAAAGATAATCCTCGAGAGGAAAAATAGTCCCATTAGATATGATACAATAGCAGGAAGCTATTGAAGATATTACGAGTACAGCTTCAGATCGATCAGCCTAGGCCACCGGAATCCCCGTCATCAGCGAGGCCATTCCCTTGGGGCCCAGCACATCCTCCAGGCTGAACCAGTAATCTATCAGCGCGTCCGAATCGCCCGCATCGTATGCCGAATCATCCTGGATGGGTTTCTTGTTCTTGCAGAACACCCGCAGCTCCTTGCAGGCCACATCCCCATTCCTCTTCAGGTAGTCCCGCATGACGTCGCCCGCGCTCATGACGATGCGACTCACCAGCTCCTGCCCGTCGCCGGATCCCAGTCCCATGGCATGCGCCGACTGGGCCGAGCCGCGCGCAACGTGATGGATGAGGAGGACGATGTTGGAGATGAAGGACTCGTCGGGCATGTATCCTTCGGTGAAGTACTGGACGAACTTGTGGTGCTCCTTGCTGCGGATCAGGCGCAGGAGCTCGAGGGAGCGTTTGTGCATGCCGAAGTAGTTGTATAGGATCATCGGCTCCTCTTCGAAGAGTTTGGTCTTCAGGAAGGCGAGCGGCTGCAGGGTGTCGATGATGTGGGAATTCGACCACTGTCGGGTGAGCATCAATTCCGGTTTGGCTCGCTGCTGGAGCTCCTTCTTGCTGGAGGACGATTCAAGCTTCGACTTTTGGGCAAGCTCGTCCAGGATGCTGTCGATGTGCACGATCCCGACATCCTCGCCAGGACCACCACCACTAACATACTGAGTAAGTAAAAAACAAGTTCGCGACGGTAGTGGTGGGCTTGAGCATGCGAGCGTTCTTGCCATCGGGCTTATGGAATGGTCCGCTGCCCCGCGAATCGCGGGCGAAATGGGTTGCGGACGAGATGCCGGTGGCCAGCTCAAGCCTATTCAGAGATTCGCTGGCGTTCTTGGGCCGTGCACCCACGAAAATATGAGACTCGCCATGGATCTTGACAAATGCATCTATGTCGGGCCACCTCAGGTCTTTATGCATGGCACCATTTATGACAAGGTTGTGCAAGAAGGCCAGCTGTTGAACGTCGTGACACCGGGTGACAAGCTCCTGGCCCACACGCTGCATTCGAATATTGAGGTGGAACAGGACCAAGCCGCAGAGGAGAGCGTGCTGCGAGAGAAGCGCATGCTTCTCGGGCGGAGTGCCAACCCTGTCCAGTTTAGACAAGGCTCGAACATCGAAGAACACATCTCCTTTGATCCATGCGTCCACGGTCGAACTGATGCTCCGAATCTCCTCATCACCCTCCTTAGGCCAGAACTTGGGCTGAGGGTGTGTCTTAGATAGTTGCAGGTATTCATCGATGGTCTTCTGGATGCGAAGTCCAGACATGCGGAGATCTCCAAATGCGCCCAAGGTGCTGTGCCGCATCGCATGGTGAACGTCGAGGAAGACCTGGGCGGCGAAACAGAGCCACAGACCCACCTTTTTGGTCTTAGCGAACTCAACCAGGCCCCGAGTGATTGAATCCTCGGCAGGCAAGTGGATGCCGAACGTATCGAACATGCAAAACTCGGGCAATATCGAGAGAAGGATGATCTTGTCTTCGTTGAACTTCTGGCCCAGAGACATCCGCCCTCTGTCCGCTTTCGGATCATAAATGCCGAAGTGGCCCTTTCTGAAGACTGGCTGGTGATTCGCCTGAAGCACGTTTGCGAAAGACTCAAGCAGGATCTTTGTTGGCAAATAGCACCACTCAGCGGTATCCGCCAGGTTCTCGTTATAGGGCAGGCCAACCTCCATGGACGGCGGCGCAAAGATGCCGCGCGAGAGCGCAGCAAGAGTGTAGACCACAGTCTGGACATTACCCTTCCGCCCGGACAGCGAGGTGCGCCAGTCCGCCTCCACCTCCTTGACCAGATCTTGGGTAAGTTGCAAAGCACTGTCCGTCACGACAGCGGCATTCATGAGGTTGATTTTCTTCTCGTGATATTCCGCCCAGGTGATGGAAATGAACTTGCGCATGTTGTCCAGATCCTGCAGCAAGCAAAGGGTCTTGAAGAACAGCTGGCTCAGGTACGAGTCCGCTGCGTCCTCGTCCTCGTCCTCTTCTTCATCGACGGTAACCTTGACGAGCTTCTTCGACACTGCGGGCGTCGGTTGCGACGACGCAGTGTCCTTGGGCTCCTCCACCGTAAGGACTGCGAATCTGTTGAGGAATTGGTCGGCATCGACGTCGTCGGCTTGAGGCTGCTTGTTAGCGTCTGGCTTCGTCGAGGACTGGTTGGTCTTCCACTCCAGAGTCTCGCAAATCTGCTCCAGCGCCGTGATGAAATGAGCATGACGCTTGTTGTTCGCAGAGTCACCCTGGCCCAAAAACCAGGATGTGGCCGCTTTTCTCAGCTTGACGGCGCGCTTCGCAAGGGCGAGGACCGACTTGGGTACTGGGAGAGCCGAACCGGCCACGACCTCGGCGAACTTCTGCAAATCTTTGGTGGTGGCACTATACTGAACGGGCTCTGCGTCAGAGTCGCCCTTCTTGCCTTTGCGTTTGCCCTTTTTCGTCGCGGTTGATAGCCGCATCGACTAGCTGTCTCCAGTAGCCATGTTGCAAATGTGTTGGTGTCCGTTTTATAGCGGGCGTAACTGCTCTGCAAGAAGTCAGGTAGCATGACTGCAATAGATGGGTTGCAAAGCAAAGAGCCCTATGAGATGGAGAAAAGGAATGGAGAAAGGTGTGTGGAAGTAGAGTGGAACCAGAGTGTGTATTCTTGAAAGGCTTGTTTGCTCCAGTTTTCAGAAGGCGGACAACACGAGCGGGGGGAGGATGCGTGCGCGCGACACATCAGAATCAAAGTGGCTGGAGTACAAGTGGAGTGCTCGGAAAGCCACACGAAGCTTAAAGAAAGAGCTATAGAAGACATATATGAGAGAAAAATTAGATAGGTAGTAATCCTAAGAGAAATTGATATACAAAATTGTGCTTAACGGTGTCAAGGTTGGTATAAGATGAAAGAATGAGTTTCATACTGTCATCCCCAGTCATCCACTCAAGTCAAACGTGAAGCAAACCCGGGAGTTTTATCCCCATGAGATGCCATACTACGTGGTTTGAATGGCATTCCCAAAAATTCGTTGTCTCATCATATTCGTCCACGAAGCAATTAGTGCCTCCTCCTTTGCGGGTCTTGCGTCATAGAGTGTATACGGAATTGACCACACAATGCATGGAAGGATAGCGCAGTGTCTAGTAATTAGCCGAGTAAGCAGAGTTGCCATAGCCGTAGCCAGGAGGAGCTGCAGCCTCCGGCGCGGTGTGCTTGTTGCGCGTAAACAGACCACCCGTACCGCTGGTCTTCTCGGTGGGAGAGGTTCCTAGCTCAACGTCGCGGGGCGCCGGATGACTGGGGAGCATGTCATCCGCACTGGCGGTCTCCGGGTTGTTCTTGTTGCGACGCCAGAAGAAGCCCCGGCGTTGCGTGCCGGTGCCATATGTGTACCCGTTGGCGGGGGAGGGGCCGAAGCGCTTCTCGCGCTTGTGGTGACGGGCGAGAAGAACTTGGAAGAGGATGGAGATCAGGAATAGGAAGCTATATTGGATACAATGTTAACACACACACACACATATTACACTCGATAACGCTCGAGGTAAGAGTGGGGCGACTCACATTCCAATAATAGCGACAGCAAATGAAGCCTTCTCCAGCACGCACGCATACCCAAGACGCACGTGAGTGTTGGCGTCGTCGGTATTGCTGGCACCGGAGCCCAGCGGCGTGTCGACGTTGCCGGAGCAGCTTTGGGTGCCTTTGCGAGTCATGATGGCGATGGCGATCATGGCTCCGATGAAGCAGACATCGAGGAGGACGGCCACGGCAGCAAAGAAGGTGACTCCGCCCAGGCAGCAGGTGAAAAGGATGCCGAGAATGCCGTAGAGGGTCGCTGCACCCGATAGGCCTTCGACGGCCTTCATCCATTGAGGGATCGTCTGATCATGGCGGGCGAGGACGGCGAGGAAGTATGAGAAAATGCCGAGGATGACTGCGGCATCGAGGAACTGGAGGATGCGAATCGCGAGATTCGCGAAGCGGAGGATGACGCCGCCAACACCCATGCTGGCAGTCGATGGCTACTGCTCTAGTCCTTAAAAAACAATAGGCTTGTTGATTGTATATGAACCTGTGTCGGGACAACCCACTGGCCTGTGGTGTATTGCCCGAGTGGATTGATTGGTGTTTGAAGCTAGTGAACAAGTCTCGAGACTTTCCAAGCTGAAATGTAACGGGTTTTAGGGGGTACAGGCGATGATATACTGGGGGAGGGGAGAAGAATTTGCAATGGGCCTGCCCCGGAAGGCAGCAGAATTGCATTGTTAGCAGGCCCAGGGAACGGGGGTGTGTGTGGCAGTAGGATGATCAGTGGATGCAGTGGAGGCCATGTCCCGTTGAACCGCGGCCGAATAGGCCCCGTAAAGAGGGGAAATGAACGCATTGCGACGATCCCACGGACAAGGTCCAGCAGTTGGAAGCTCAATCATTGGCTTTGGAGGATGAATTAGGATGTCACCAGCCACACACGACAGTCGGACCCTGACGGTGGTGATATCATCAGGGTGGAGGATGGAGGAGGGTGGAGCCGGCCCATTGGCGGGTAGACGCAGGTCTAAGCCCTGCACCCTCTCGTGCACCGCCAACTGCCCGGTTAAGTTAGTGGAAAAATGCCAATGATTCATTTTAGGTATAAGCAAATTCTATGGACGGCTTCGCCGGATGTTCCCTTAATAGCATACTGAGTAGTTAATTACTGAAAAAGAAAAGCTAATTGATCATCTCCATTCTGGGTGATGAACGTCCATTGTTTGTTTGCCTTGGATACGGCAGTAATTCCACAGTACCAGGGATCAGTCCCAAGGATAGGCAGCGACAATCCACCGGAACCATATGCCATAAAAAGAAACCAAGAAAGTCAAAAAGAGCTGGTCCCAGAGGGGCTCGAACCCTCGACTTTAACGTTATTAGCGTTACGCTCTAACCAACTGAGCTATGGGACCCGGTTGATGTATTGAGCACTAATCTTAGGCTTGATGAGGATTGCACAGCAGGGACGTCGCTGTCATGACCATCTCACTCGATACGTCATGGGGAGGATGGGGCCTGGTCCTGCGTAGAATTGAGAGAGCGCCTAGGTATAGTGTCGCAATCACATCGATAAAATTAATGAATTGATGCAGTGGTGTGTATAGATACCACATCGTTGCGCATCCCATATTGTGCGTCTGTGGTCCGAGGCAAATGCAGAATTCAGTATATGTCGGTTGTCGGCCAGGAGGATAGGCCGGATACCGCTGTGGTGACGAGGGACTGCCCCATCAAAGCCCAAACGCCCGCCAAATTTCGAACATCCAAAAGCGAAACCAAAGCCCCTCATCTTAAAATCAATGACGCGTCGCTGGCCGCCTTTCATCATCACCCATCGACGAGACAGAGGAGATCTCGTCGAGACTCGCGCGGTGGACCAGGGATGGCCCTCTACTGTATCTCGAAATCTCAGAGACCGTGTCATCTAGGGGATGGTCAAACGGGGATGTCGGCCGCTCGCTCCTCGACACTTGCCGTGAAGGAACGTCGGTACTCGTCACGGGTGATATGTCTGCCTCCGCACGCTCCGGATGCCTGGAATATGGCGGTGGCTGGTCCAGCGTGGTGTTGATCCCTGGTGCTGGGCTGTGCTGACTAGCAGGTGCATCAAGGCTGCGTGACTGGCTTGTAGCGAGGTGGTCGCTCGAGTGGTTCGAGGTGTCGTATGGTATAGGTCCCGTGAAGGGAATGTTATGAGTACTAGCGTTGGTGAATCCCCAGGGTGTCGCTTGGGGTGGTTGCGATCTCGGTAAGTTCTGCTGCGGTTGGGGTAGTATTGGTTGTCGAGGGACGGTCATTACATCGATCTGAGAAGTAGATGGGATGACGTGGCCTCGAACACGACGGCGCCTCCGTCGGAGGAGGAAGAATAGCAGGCCCAAAATGATGGCTGCGCCCGCGACAGCAACAGGGATGGCGATGGCGAGGGTTTTGGTGTTGCCGCCGTTGTTGCTGCTAGCAGAGGAAGTCGACGTGGAAGACGTGGTTGTTGATGTTGTGGGTGATGGATTAGTGGTCTGGGTAGCTGTGAGAAAAGAGTCGGCTGCTGTAGGTGTCGTCGCGCTGGCGGCGATAGACTCCGAGGGCGATGCATTTCCCCCGGCCTGGGATGTGCTGCCGCTGCTGCCACTGCTGTCGGTGCCTTCCCAGCTGCCTTGACTGCCATCCTGAGATCCACCTGTGCTACTTCCTCCTGACCATTGGCTTCCACTATCCATTCCAGACATGACAGCGACAGTGATCGACTGGTCTAACCATCCACGCCTGTCGTTGTTGACCGAACAGAATCGCCCAGCGATGTCGATAAGATACGCCAAGCCAGATCGATAAGTACTATATAGCACCACCGAGAGAATTTCCAATATAGACCCAACACGAAGAAAGCAAGTAGAGATCTCAAGATGCTAGGTCAGTGTCGACGGTGCACACAGACTAACAACAGTTAACGTCTCAACATGCGTCTGAAGCCAGACATATCAACATACAAAGATCAAGAGACCCTGAAATAAAAGAGCCCTCCTGCTCAGATGCTTATGTCAGTACACTGTACCTGGTCAAAGAAAAATACAAAGAACCAGCATATACTCACCACAATGAACACTATGCACCTAGAAATTGCCCGGATAGAAAGTCTCTACAATAATATCGAGTAAAAGGAAGAGCAAGAATCAGAGAATCACAGAAGGAAAAAAAAAAAAAAAGAAGAAACGAAAGTCGGAAACAACAGCCTAGAAGAAAAAAAAGAGAGAGAGAGCTGACATGGCGCAGCAGCGTCCTCTTAGTGAACGAGGTATAGTACACCAGCCTAGAGCCCAACTTCTGAGGGCTAAGGAAGTACAGCCCGCGCCCGCCTCCCCTACCAATCACCACCAGCTTGCACGGCGTAAAGCGCCGGTACATGCCATGGACGACGCGCAATGCAATAATAAGAATAGTATTCTGCCCGCTCACGAGGGTGAAACGAACAGCATTGTTAGCCCCATAAACCAACCCCCCCCCTCTCCATCCTCCTCACCAGTCGGAATGATTGGCGCCGAACGCATATTGGGAGTGGAAGAAGATGTACTACTAGTGTACTTGTACAACTGGCACATGCTAGGGTTGAAACCATGGAGGGGGGAAACCGGTCGCCGTATGGAATAAATGGCAACAAAGGAATGCTTTGCCTCCTTACTCATGTGTCAATGAGCGCGTGGGAATTTTAGGTCGATTGTGGATGGTTGTAGGATTGAATGAGGTTCTCCACCGAATAGCCTGATCGACGCATTAGCTTGGAGTGATGGGGGTCTGGAGACGTCGGCGCATTGCGTGGCCCTGATATGCCCTGGATTATGGAGCCCGGCTGCTTTTGAATCGGTTGTGATCGCACGGCCTCTGCGGGGCGAGGTTATCGTTCAATTGTCAACATGGAAGTTGAGGTTGAGGTCGAGGTCTATGATACAAGGGTCAAGTTCCAAGTACAGTGCACTGCGTTGTGTCGTATGGGGACTGGGTGAGAACAGCAACGATCTGGAAAGAGGGCGTAAGCTTGATTTGTTGTTGTTGTTTGACTCCGTGTTTCACGGCTGCCTTCTGCCAACACAGCCACCCAAGGCTGCATTAGGAGGGAAGCACTAAGCACCGGGCACTTGCACTTGACCTCGGAAAGGTTGAATTCCTTCGAGCTTAGTTTCGTGGAATAAGGCTCTATGCACACTATGCCTACAGCGGAAAAAAATGCTATTTCGAATCTAGCCCTCCAACAAATCGCTCTATTTTCCAATGCGCATATATACACTTGAATAAACTTTTAGATCTATACAATTACCGCCCTTTCCCATAATCAGGCGTGTAAGCCTTGACCTTGCCCTTCGTCAACTCCCTCAACGCCATGGTTGCATACTGGCTCGATCCAAGCTGGAACTTGAGCACCACAGCGAGTTTGCTCTCCCCCTGCTCCTGAGCAGCATCAGCATCAGCTCCATCCTTGCTCGGACCCTGAAGTCTTTCCAGATCGGTCGCCACGAACTGCTCATCATCCCTCTCGTAGACCTTCACATCGACCGAATAGTCCGGCCCCATGCGGTTCAACAGCTTGCGGTATCCGCCCGTGAGACTCACGTCCTTCCACTTCCGGCGCATATCGAAGGGATCGAGGCCACCGCCTTGCTCACTGCCCATGAACTGCTTGTAGAAATTCGTCATGGCGTTGGCCGGGTACAGCACATCGTATCCAGGAAGCGTCAACACGACGTCGAAGATGTTGTATTTGCCGCTGGCGGCTTCCTCGGCGGTAAGGGCGCGGGCGCGCGTGATGCCCTCGGCCGCGTAGGCGCTGTCGCCGGTTGCATGGGGCGTGATGATGACTTCGCCATCGGCGTCAACGGTCTCGTCGGCCGGTTCGGTAGTCGCGGCTGCGGAAGCGCCGGTGGCGTTGGCAGCGGAGGAGGAGGTCTTGTCGGTGTGTTCGTGGATCAGGACGAGGTCGCCTTCGACGACCTTATCGCCGTACAACCGCCAGCGTTCGGTGGCAGCGAAGTTCCACACAAACGACTGGTAGGCGTGGACGTACATCAGACGCAGATTACGGGGCACAGCCTGGAGGGCGCCGAGGTAGTCGGTCTTCGAGCGGCCCAGTTGGCGCATGATGTTGGCCTCGGCGGAGAACTTGCGAGGCAGTTTCTCAAGCGCCTTGCCGGCGTTGGCGGTGGTCGTGTAAATGTGGATCGCTTCGGCGCGCGCGCGGTCGTCGGAGCTGATTAGAGCGGAGGCGGCTTCTCCCTGTTGCGCGGCATCTAGGGTGTGCGGGCTGTAGTGGAGGATGGCGTCGCAGGCGCCCTTGAAGTCGCCTTGAAGCATCTTGACGCCGACGGTGTCCGTGCGCGTGGCGTAGGTTCCGAAGCGTTGGAGACCGAAGTAGTTGAAGTAGCCTCGTTCGCGGAGGTTGTGTAGGGCAGTCTTAACAAGGTCGGTGGACTTGGCGATGGCGGCTTCGCGGTCCTGAAGGTCGACGACTCCGGGAATCTCGCAGTCGCGGAGGGTGATCACGAATTCGTTGCCGTTGAGATCACCCAGATCGAGACCATACTTGCGATACTCAAAATCACCGAGGACTGCGTTACGGAGAGTAGGGTTGATTTTCTCAAGCCGCTCGGCCTGCACTCGGTACGCACACGCCCGCTGGACCGTCACACCGCGTCGATCCTTGGTACCGGCGAATTGGAAGGTCTTCGAGTTCACCTTGAGCTGGCGTCCAATGAAGTTCAGAATCTCCATGGTATCTTTGTTCTCCTTGTAGATGGTGAAGTGCAGGTAGGGGCCGCCCAATTCATCCCAGTTGATCGGAACACGCGGCCCGCCTTTGCCATTACCGCGTCCACCCTGCGCCTTCTTGTTGTTCCGGTTCGGGGCGACGGAGATGTTCATCATGCCCTCACTGTCGGTCTGGGACTCGAGCTGAGAGTTGAAGATGCGACGAATGGCCTGGTGCATCTTGATCCGCAGATCGCGATCGGTGACCACGACGGTAGCGATCTTGCTGAAGTCGCTGGGCCTCGACTTCGGGTTCTCAAGAGCGCGTTTGTTCAGCGCCAGGATCTTCTGTGTGGGTTCCTCGCCGAAAAGGGATTCGAGAAGCGCGTTGTCTTCATCGCTGATCTGGAACTCGGGGGCGGGAATTTCGGCGGTCGGCGTTGCATCTTTCTCAGCTGTAGCTTGGGCGCCGTCCTCCGGCTGGGGCTTTGCGGTTGGCTTCTCCGAGGACTGTTCCTCCTTATTCTGCTTCTTCTCCTGAACGGGAACATTCTGCAGATGCAGCACTTCACCGGACGGCACAATCTCGTTCACGAGGAAATCGGTATATCTAGATGCGAAGAGATATAATTAGTGACGACCCCAGACAAGTTATGAAGGGGCCAGAGCATACCTTTTCTTCAAAATACCGGAGAATCCTTCGTTGTCCGCACTGACATAGCCGGTGATTCCAACCTCGATCTCCCTTCGAGCCTGCGCATCATCGGCCGAGACTGGCGCGGCGGCGGGTTCCTCCGCAACGGGTCCGCCGGCCTGGGGAAGCACAGCGTCGTCCGTGGTGGGCGGGTTGTCAGTCTTGATGCGCTTGCGCGGCGACTCAATCACGTCGGCGCCCTCCATTGCAATGGCTGCTTTTGCAAATAAAAATAAAGCGGAGTTGGAGAGACCGGGCGGGATTAAAGTCATGAAGATTGCGGAGCTCCAGAAAGTTACCGTCACGTTTTGCTTGGCTGGATTGAGTTAGAGCGCGGGGGCTAGCCCTAAAGGGAAATCCCGATCGGGTTGAGTTGTAGATCGTTCTAGTCCTCGACGGGCAGAAGTATAGACCACCGTGGTCCTTCATGATGGATCATGGATCCATCAAGACTAGATGGATGAGACTTCAAATCCCTGTATGCGAACTTAGGCTGGCTATCTCAAACGGTACAAGAAGAACCTACACAGCACTTGGGGACTCAGTGCATGCAACCAGTCGGGATTAGCCCACCAAAAAACTGATTCAATTAATTGCGTGCAGTTGCTATCATGTCCAGACAATCTCGAACCATCACTCACTCATTTCGCAAAGCGAACCGCCCAAAGACTTGAGAACCGGTATACTTCGATTAATTTACTATCATCTGTTCTACAAAGATATGGCAACCAAGAATCAGCAGTCCAAGGAGAGAAATATGCCCATACATCACCAAGAAATCCAATTCCCCCAAGCCAACTCCATGACAAACCCAAAGATTATCTCCTCTTAAATCCTCCCAGAACAAAGACCTTCACCGCACAGCACATAAGGCAAGATTTCAAGATAACAGAAGTACTCCTCTAAGCTCCTCCACCATGTACTCCACTGTTCCAAGGAACCCAAAGAAAAAGAAATCAGTAATGAACCCCATATATCCCTCCCAAATTTGAAAGACAATATAAATAGGCCCTCAACCCTCACACCCTCACACCCTCTCCCCCCGTCTTCCGATAGGGAACCCAGTCCAAAACAGTTGCAAGTAACACAAAAAGTGACCCATAGCAGCAACATCCAACCATGTCTCCCCTAACCCCACGCCAGATAGAGCGCAGCGAGCGTTTCCGCCAGGCGGGGATGTTCTGGCACCGAACCGAGATGGGCGATGAGCAAGTCACCGTGCCCGTCTCATTTCTCAACTTCATCATCACAGCTAACAAGGACTCAGACCTCGCGCAGCGCCGGTACTTCGTCGCCGCGCGCGAGGTGCTCCGGCGCCGCTTTCTCGCGTTGATCACCGCGGGATACGAGCTCCCCATGCCGGTGCTCAGGATCTATCAGCCCCCGCCTTTTAATTCTTCTTCTGAGTCAGATTCGGACTCTGAGGGGAGTGAGAGTGAGAGTGATGATTATGAGGAAATGGAAGAGGAAATGGAAGAGGAGGAGGAAGAGGAGGAGGAGGGCTATGCGGCTTGTGATGAGAAGAGTGTCGAGGGGTCTAGCGTCCACGATGATGTCGACAGTGAGGATGATGACTTCGATGTGCTGAGCGATT